TACCTGCGTCCCGATGCTACGTAGTAGCATCGCTTTTTTCGACGGAGCGCCTAACGGGGCCCCCATACCCTTGTGAGCATCTTCATTTGAGAGACCCCCAAAAAAAGGGCTCTCCGAGGCACACACTTAGCGCATGCACAAACGAACTTAACTAGCAAACGAACTTACTGTGCTCGGACCCCGCAAGAAACGAACTTAAGCCTAGAAACGAACTTACAGTGAGAAACGAACTTACAGTGAGAAACAAACTCACAGTGAGAAACGAACTCACAGTGAGAAACGAAACTAACGCAAGAAACGAACCTACTGCACGAAACGAACTTACGGTGAGAAACGAACTTACGGTGAGAAACGAACTTACGGTGAGAAACGAACTTACGCCGAGAAACGAACTTACTGACGAAACGAACTTACGCTGAGAAATGAACTTACGCTGAGAAACGAACTTACTGTAGGAAACGAACTTACGCTGAGAAACGAACTTACGCTGAGAAACGAACTTACTGTAGGAAACGAACTTACGCTGAGAAACGAACTTACGCTGAGAAACGAACTTACTGTAGGAAACGAACTTACTGAAGAAACGTATGGGCGTAATAGTGTTAAATAAATATCTTGACTGTTTTCATGCGACCGAAGAGGTGTGAACACGCACAAGTCCCGCCACATTGAATGATCACACGCAGAAGTCATACCAGTTTAGGCGTCGTGGCGCCTATGTGACGGCGGTTTGCCGGACACACGTGTAAGTTCTTTCATCTCGAGCCGCCGCGCGTAAGTTCCGCTTCCGTTTGCGTACAGGTCTTTGTGTTTGCTCTTTGCACACAGGTGGACTGACATGCCATGCACATATGTTGTCGACTCTGCACACCTGGCCTCGCAAGTGTCGAAGTTACGATTCTCTTCGTCACTTGCAACACAAGTTCTTCCTTCCTTAGTGTGATGCTCTGTGCTCGAATCATTTCTTCACCCCAAATCCGAGTCATCGAGCCCGGTACATTGTGATACTACAGAATCCTTGGCTCTGAGACCTAAGCTTTGCTAATGCTTGATCTAGATGCGGCTCCATGAATTTGTCTTCCTCTTCGCCCTTAGCACCGGAACGGTCCTCGCCGGGAGCTCCGAATCTCAGTCCTGGTAACTAGGTCTTGCAAGGTTCCCTGTCACAATTTACTGTTTTCCCTCGTCCACTCTCCACTCTCTCGATCATCGGTCACGGTGGCTTGAACCTTAAATCTTGACGAGGGAAAAGGCAAGTGACAACCGACTCGCTCCTTCGTCCGGCCATCAAACTCTCCTTCCTTCTCGTCGATTCTAAGACTTTGAAACTCTCCTCCTCTTTGCTCATGGACTCGACTTCTCCCTGGGCTCTCACTCCCGCTCAACTCGGGCCCTGCAATCACAAGACATGTGTCAGCTCCGAACTTTGTTACTTATTTTTCCCAAACCCTAAGCAGATGGACGAGGCAAGCGATCCCCTTCGTCTAGCTATCGTCCTCTGTGCTATTTGTGGCCACCCCGCTGGCCTCCACAAAATGGCCATTTCGGCCAAGATACCCGAGCATGCGGTACGCCGTTCCTCTTCCATATTTTCTCCCTAGCCCCGCCACAAGTGATTTCCTGTGCCTTGTCTCTATTTATTAATTATATACTACGTGTTACATACTGTATGCATCTCTAGCCACCCGTCCCAGACCCACCTCGCGCTCCACCACCAGAACCGGCTGCTCCACCGCCCGCCTCTAATCCGGCACCAACTTCGTTCACCGCTCATGGACCAACCCCACCGCTTTCAAGCCAACCTTCGACTACTACCCTCCGGTCTCTCTTCGGCTCACGTCCAGCCAACTCAACCACTCCCGCCTCACAGTCCTCGCAGCCGTCTTCGTCTTCGCCATCGTACTCAGCGACACCCAATCTCGCAAGCCCGAATATCTTCATGAACATGGCGCAGAGTCGGAAGGAGCAAATTGGCGAGGGGCAGAACTTGCCTGCCGGAATGTCGAAGACATTCTACCCCGCTCAAAAGGTTTGTCTGTTCGGACATGTACTTTTGTTCTATCCTTCTTCCTTCGTCTTCATCTTCGTCTACCTACTACTCTCTATCTCTTCTTATCCCGCTACCCATCCTTCTAGTGTTTCCTATTCATCTATCTCCCTTTCTAGCTCTTCCCATTCCTATTTGTCTACGTACCATTATCCTATCCCTTCCTACTCAACCCTTCCTGACCATCTACCTACACCCTAATTTTTCTATCCCTCAACGTTATGATGTGTCTCACAACATCACTCCTCAGGCTCAGCAGGAGGCTGAGGTCGGTGCCAGACCTAAGCCTCGCAAAGCAAATGTGAAGCGTAAGCGCGATGATGACGATCCACATGACTCGACCGTAGCTCCTGCCACTCGCAAGGAGTCGAAGTCTGCAAAGACCGCGAAGTCGACACCTTCAGTCCCGGACACCTCGTTCACCGTCGCTCTCCTTCCCAATACAGTCAGGGCAAATGCTGGCCGTTATCGTGTGATGTCTGTCAGCCAGTTCGTCTTCACCTTGATAATTGTTGCGTGTATCTTCGTACTCACATCTATTGCTTCGCTTCTAGGTTGTCGCAACTTGACCTTGTTGGTCTCATCGGGAACGTCAGTCTCCCCACCACTGCAACTCCGTTTGAGATTAAGGTCGCCATCAGCGGCTTGTTCCTCCATGTTCCAGCCTTCGTTACCGTCGTCAACGAGCTCCTGTCCCCTACTGCTCATCAGTCTCCTGCTCCGCCCTTTCCCCAAAACCCTTGGAACCTTCTCACCGGACAGAATCGCGGACAGGGAGACAGGAAGGGCACCGTTCTTATTCCTTTCCCATCGTCGATGGTCATAGACTTTGCTCGGTTGTTAAGGTATGATCATCGCTCATTCTAGTACTAGTGTCTACTCTCCTATCCTATTCGTCCTACTCTCCTATCCATCCATTTTATCCCTGCATAATTGGCTGATTGACTATGTCATAGGGCTACTGGACTTACAAAGCCACGGAACGCCGCCACCATCTGGAAGAACGTGATATATATCTGCTTACCTGAGGGTACCGCCAATATCCCTTTCACCTTCGACTCTTCCTCCGACGAGGACTCGTCCGGTGCCGAAGAAGCGGAAAGTGATGACGACGTACCTCAGACCAATGTATGTTTTATACGACCTCATGAGTATTGTATCTGACCGCCGTCATTTCTAGAAGAAAGAAGAAGCACCCAAGGTGTCGCCACACACTCCCGCCTCCTCATCGTCTTCAACCGCGATGCCTTCTACGTCTACGGTCCCTCCGTCACGGACAACATCTTATTCTTCCTCACTTCCGCAGAAGCAGAAGGATGACGACAATCCGTACGTCTTTCGCATCTCTCCCATGCTGTCATAGTCCTGAAATATCCTTCGCCCTTCCAGGTATTCCACACCCTCGAGAGTGAACGGCGCAGGATCGTTTTTCACTCCCTTCCCTGGGCCTTATGCTGAACCAGATCAATGGATCGGTGGTACTCCAAGGATCATGCACGATCTCATGCGTGCTGTCACCAACGTCCATCAACCTGCTAAGCCTTCGTCCATGGTATTTCTTGTCACCCTTCTTGTTTTGCCGTATATATTGATCCCCCGATTCACATTGTTTCCCTAACTAGTGGCCTCTCGTCCCGGCGGATCTCTACATGGACGGTTATAAGGCCAAGAGTAGCGTGCAGATCCTGTACGATCTCTTCTGTAAGAACCCGGAAGGTGAGATTTCTATCTTTCTATGCTCTTCGTCTTCGTATACTTTGTCTCGTACTACCAGTATTCGTATTCGACGATCGTTGACACACATTTCCTAAGGCATTACGGCGGATATCGTCTGGGCATCCGTCACTGACTTCTTCAACAACATCTCGTTCTTCAACTCCATGCTGGACGACCCAGATGCCTCTACCATGATCAAGTTTGGTCCTAAGGGACTAGGCTTCATCATCGATGGCCTGTGCATTGCTTACAGATTACTCCCTTCAATTAGCTTTCAGTTCCCTCGCCCATCGCAGGATGAACTCATCGTACTCACCGGTAATCTGTACAAGCTTATCGTTAAGTTTAAGGAGGACTCCGACACTCCTGGCCCAGATATGTATTCGCCTGACGGATTCCGCGACTTCATTAGCTCCGTTGTTCGTCTGGATAAGTCCACTTCGCAATGCTTCGCAGTGAGTGACTAACATAGGTTTTATTGTGTTTGATGAGACTGTCTCATATGTTCTTTCTGTTGTCTTTCCCATATGTGCCCAGATCGCTACCCAGAACAATTGGGATCATCTCTGTGCCTCTTCGTTCGTCTTGAAACAAGACTCGCCTGGGGCCCTACTTCAGGCACTGGATGCCGACTTCGGCTCAGCCTCTGATCACTCGCAGATGAAATCAGACAATATGCGTCTAGGGAAATGGGGGTTGGCGAAGTTTATCGATGCGTTGCTTATACCATTCCTGGATCACTACGAGATGGACGATGACAGCTACTACGCTATATTTTCCATACTTCAGACGTTCTGTAGGGAGGCGTCCAAGTATATTGAATCTTGTCGGAAATCCGTGCGTGTATTCATGTGTATATTCTGTTTACTTCAAGTACTGTGCTGATATTCGGGTATTGTTGTAGAAGTGGAAGGGGAAACCTACTCCGGCAAGGAATGATGTCCCAAGTACTGGTGATGCAGAGGTTCGTTCTCTATTATCACCTTCTCTGATGACTTTTTGGCTTATTTTTGTTATTCACTCGACCTCGACGTCTTAATTGGATAGGAAAATCAATCGGAAATCAACAGCCGCCGTAGTACTCGTGCAAGTACTGCGACCAAAGCCAGCGCTGAGACGACTGGAGGTACTGGGGAGTTTGCTGATGTTCAAAGCAACGGTGGTGGGGATGACGGTGAACCAGTGCAGGAGGAGGGTACTGCTCGTGGTAAGAGTAGTCGTGGTCGTCGTGGTCGTCGTGGTCGTGGAGGGAGAGGTGGGAGGGGAAAGCGTAGGGGTTCTGCTGGGACGAACACGGATGCGTAGGCACTGTTCATCTTCTGAGTTGTGCTGTCCAATAATAATAAGGCGATCTCTTAGCCCTGCACCATCGTCTAAACCCAATAATTCCTCTGATGCATATGTGCCTTCTTCGACCTCGTCAGGATCCGATATTTCGGACGGTGAGTACGCCGAGACGATTAGACAGTTCCTGCAGGAGAAGTATGGGACTCGTACGTTCTGCTCTGGAGGCTCTCATAGACGACAACCTACGCCACGACAATCTACGCCACTCGAAGAACCCACTTCGAACCGTGAGTCTTTTTTCATTATTTCGAGGACATTCTCAAGTTGATATAAACCGAACCTCCGAAAACAGGTCCTCCACCATCCTATTCATCGACATTCCCCCGCACTCAACCGCGACCTCGTCCTACCCCGCAAGCACGACCTCGTCAATCTGCCTGGGGATCGTCTTCTACTCCCAATGAGTACATATACGTCTCTAGCGATGATGAACGTACACGCCCATATCCTGCGTCGACTACTAACACCTCAACGACTGGTACCTCCGGTTCTGTACCTACTCCGTCTCACTCCAATCCACCTCTCTCGACCACCGCTGGCGCCTCTACAACTACGACTTCAACCGCACAGCCCTCTACCTCTACTTTCGTACTATCAGCATCTACGATGATCTCATATCGCCGATTCATTGATGCAACATCGGAGCGTGTCTCACCGTCGAGACGAAGCTCAGCTCGTCGTATCCCTTGGCATGAATTCCGCTCTGATCTACTTCGACGAGTTCCACACCCTGACCCTGCTAGACGCATTCAACTCTCGACGATTGTCCAGGCTTCTGTCACATCCCAGCGCCGTCTTCTTGCACGTGTGAGTACCATTGTGCTATTATATTCCCTATTGTGTCCTGCGTGTCCGCTTTCCTAAGTCTGAATTCTTGTTAGGTATATCACCCAGATAAGAACATGCAGTACGGAAACGAGTGGGCCAGCTTATGTCAAAGTATCATGGCTTTAATCAACACTGTGCAAAATTGAAGGCTCCTTCGTGTCAATCAATCGTACCCAAGTGAGTCTCATGTTATACTCGAATAAAATCAGGCGTTGACCGTCACACCATGTAGAATCATGTGGTAGTGTGTACGACTCACAGACTTACAAGTCTATGTCTATGTCTATGTCTTCTCCCATGTTACGATCATATGTCTCTATGTTATTTCTTTCATGTCTTTATGCCTTTGCTATTCCCTATGCGTATTTCCCATGCTATCGCTCTATGCTCCACCATTACTTTTGTCCTCTGTTTGCCCTTATGAGTTGTGAGCTTGACTTCCGACCGCGGAGCCTGCAGCACTACACTATGATACACAGATATGAGTGATAATCAGAGAGAGATCTCCATTATGAGGAGCTTCATTTGTGAGCAGTGAATCTGTCACGTACAAGGACAAGGCTCGATCGTCGCCCGCTCTGAGACAAGGAAAAGGAGACTCTCACCGGGAAATGCCGGTGGCGTGTCGCACACCCTTCCCCCATGTCCATCATTATTCACCCTGGCACAAATAACTAGGAGAAAAACACGACAAAACGAGCACCAGGATCTATGGATTTGACTTCAAAATCAAAAGCCCAAGAGCAAAGGAAAACATTACGTGAGAAGCCCCGACCCGTACAGGTAAGCACTGAGGGCTGGTTACACAGTTACACATGGGTGTCACCGTACTCCTGGGTTTGCATATGTGTGCCCTACACAGCTGAGCATGCATAACCAAGAGAAATGAACCTTGTTTCAAGAGCTGTAAACCCTTGATTTGTCTACAAAACTCACAGCTCAAGAGCAAAGGAGACAAAATTTTAAGGGAGTTAAATTCGATTATAATTACTTCGAACACAGAATGTGCTCTAAGAGGTAGAGGTATAGTATGGTCTTGAATGCAGCAAGGAGATCAGATTCAAATGTAGCTAGGTTCTTGTTATGATATCACACTCACCTGGTGTGAGATGAGGAGCAGGCGTTGTGAACAGGGAAGGAGAAGGAAAAGGACAAAGATGCGAAATACAGGGATCCGGACACCGGGAAATGCCGGTGGCCCGCCTCACCCCTTCCCATTCTTCGTCTATATCTACCTTGGCACAAATAATGAAGAGAAAAACAGGGCAAAATGAGCACCAGAATGTATTAGTTTAACTTCAAAACTCGAAAACCAAGAGCAAAGGAAAGAAATATGTGAGAAGTCCCAAGTCCCACTCGTACAGGTAAGTACTCATGAGTACTGGTTTATGGCACTGTAAGTACTTCAAGTTCAGAGTTTGCATATGTGTGTGCCATACACAATTGAGCATGCATAACTAAGAGAAACAGACCATATTTCGAGAACTCCAACCCCTTGATTTATCTACAAAACTCACAGCTCAAGAGCAAAGGAGTAACTTTTTTCACAGAGTCATATTCGATCCCGACGATTCAAGACGTTAGATTCAGGTCACTCGAGCTGAGCTCGAGCTACTATGGTCTACAAAAAGAGCCAACAAAATGAATGTTACGAAGGAAAAGGAAGGCTATGATGAATCCATTGAACTTTTAAGTAACAATAAACAGGTACTCTAGCGCTAAGTCTAAGTCAGCCTCCTGCCATAGAGATCATCAAGTGGGTGTTTCCTGTGATCCATCTCAATTCCTCGCTCAGTCCTGGTCCGTTTCTTAGGAACGAGTTCAAGACCTCCCTCCCGTACTACAGCATCAGCAGTCCTCCGTTTCCGAATCGGACGTGGAATAGCAATAGCGCCAGAGCTAGAAGAGGGCGACGACGGCAAAATGGTGGGAGAAGCGGAGCATAGTGTCTGGCTTCGATGGTCGCGGGTGTCCTCCAAAGGTCGTCGGGACGAAAGGACGATTCCAATCTTCTTGGTGTTCTTCTTTTCGATCTCCTCAGGGACTTGGTGTCTGAAGTTTTCAGGGAGGAGTTTCCGGTGCACGGCTTTGACAGCCTCAATAGTGTGTCGAAGAGGGATGTCTGGGTTCGGATCGCCCCAACAGGCAAGAACACTATGTCAAATAAGATACATTAGCATTAATTTGAAACGGAGTGTTCACACAAAGTAGTACGAAGATAGAAGATAACAATAACACAATAACAAGAGAGATGTCGGGGGACAAGAAAAAGAAAGAGCACGCACTGTACTGTATGTCCGTTGATGGCCTTTCGAGGGATCGCAAGGCCGCCGTACTCCAACGGACCAATAGCGACATCCAACGAATGGGCCACAGTATACTGGAATGAACCAGCCTCTCGCTCACCGTCATTCGGTGTAGCAAGTGTACGAACACCTGGTATAGACGTCAGGGACCAGACATACGTTCTTCCTTTACCCTTTCTTCTCACAACCGCACTCGTAGACTCTGTCACCATCATGGAGCCCTCAGCACTCTCTCCATCACCATTGCTATCATCGCCCTTCACATCCCCCAATACCCCTATCGCCACAGCTGCCTCAGCCACAGCTGCCTCAGCCTCAGCCGCCTCAGCCTTCTTAGCATCTTTTTCACTACGCTCATAGTACGTGTACGGCTTGCGAGGGAAAAGAACTTTCGTCGCGGCAGGGAAAAGGCAAGTATACGCATTTGGATTGAGGTAAGTCTGATCCAAATCAGTTCCTAGGACCGGGAAGAAACACTTTTTCAGTATCGTGCAAGATTCTCGTAGATTTACAGGCCAGATGAAGTCGGAGACATGTACACAATACACAAAGCGGAAAAGAAGAAATAAACGAAATACGGACCTCGGGACCGGAAGTACTGTGTCAGTGGATCATCCTGTATCTTCGCACTTGTATCTCCTGATAACTTCGGCCACAGTGTAGGCGAGATAAGGTGGCCTAAATTACGAGGTTGCTTCAAGTCGAGTGCGATCAAGGACCAATCAAACACGTCATAGTCTCGATTTTTCTACCAGAAACAGAAGAGTGAGACGGAAAAATCAAACGGAAACAAGTACAGAGAGGAGTTAACGAAGGGAGAATAAGGCGCCACAAGCTGGACATACCTCATACTCGTCAGCAAGACTCGCAAGACGGAGCGGTATCTTGATATTCAACTTGCCGTAAACGCGAAGAGAGCGTCCGTACGCTTGGCGCTGGACGAGGCTGGGGGCAAGGAGTGTACCTTGCATTGCAGGGCGGACGACATCGTTCCTACATGCGATCACCGTCATTCAGGTCACTCAGATTCAGTCCAGCCAAAATAAGCAAAGCAGAACACAACCTTTCCGACTTACCACATCTGAGGGAGACCGAGTATAAGGTGGCGATAAGCAGCAATGAGTCTCGCCACACGAGATGGGACATCGAACAATTGCGCCTCTGTAAGTCCCAGCCATAGACCTAGAATGCAAACGACCCAATGTTATAATTCGGATCAAAAAACGTTGAGGCCTTCAGGATAAATGAGGGTATGTCCACACACCCGCCATGAACATCAACTCCTGAATCGTGTACTTTCCAATCCCAGGAAGCGGGCCATCAGTGCCACGAATGACCATGAAGGCTAATTTAGAGCGATTGCAACGTCGCTTCCGACGCTGGTCTATCCAATCGGCGACAGATTTGAGGAAAACGTCAAATGCGGTCAGGATACAAGCATGCCGGACGGGCATATGCTCTATAGAGTCGAGCCAGTACAGCTGTGGACACAAAAAGTGGTGAGAGAATGAACGGAACACGGAATTGACAGATTCAATAGTGAAACTGATGATGCAATGGAGTTGTTCATTGCATGCGTATATTATAAAACATATGTAAGGATAGTGTGGCATGTTGAAAACGTACCTGTAGTAGATGACTACGTGTCAAAAACGCTAGGGTGAAACCTTCAAAAACAAATGCAACGGTGACCTTGAAAATCCGGGTCTTGATTGGCAATACACATAAGATGTTAATGAACACAAGCGTTAGATATATGGGAAGATGGATATACATACTTTGTGTGGAACGAGCTTCAGGTATGCCCACTGCGATGCAGTGTATACTTGCAGGCAAGTGTGGAGAAGATACTGTATCTGACGAAGAGGAAAGCGGAATGAGGTGAGGAGTGAATCGCGGACAGGAATAGTAATGTGAAACACTCACCTGAACGACCATCAGACCAAAATGGATCAGGAGTGTCCGCGGCGTATGCGTCACTTTGTCAAGTACTAGCGATTACAAACGCTCGGGTGGCATAGGCGTATATGGCAGCTCCTTGAACGGAATCTTAACAAATTCGGAACCTGCAGATTTTGCAGTCCGCTTATTTTTCGCGTTTTGCTGTGAGATAAACTGGTTGTCTGAGGCGAGTTGATTGCGGTCATCAAGTGTGGGACAAGTGCCAGGGAGAGGAGGATAAACATGAGACTGCGAGACCGTTCCACTGCCGCGTTTGACTAGAGGTGCATCGGATGCAGTTAGCTCAACAACACATCCTTCACCAGTGTCATTGACACTGTCCTCCTGCTCGTCAATAATCCCGTTGCCACTGTCACTATCACCATCAATATCGGCATTTGTGCAGTCGTCTTCAGCGCCCAGTGTTGCCTTAGGAGCTGTAGGATCGTGCCATAGTGAGACTAGAGGAGCTCCGAAGACTTGTACACCTTGCTTTTCGAGATGAGCAGCAGCATGATGAAATGTGCGATCTGAGGAGAAGATCTCCGGGAGCTCTGGCATAGTCTGCAGCAGTGGCGGTTGAAGTAGCGGAGAGCGCGTCGCGTCGGTGTGTCATAGAAAACACGAACGCGTCATGTCACACTTGTGACGGCCAAACGTCTCACTTCATCTTTGCAAAAAAAAAAAAACTTGCTCCTTTGCTCCTGAGTCCCGACTTTTGAAGACAAACTAAGGCTCTGTGATGCTCAAACTGTGGTCTGTGTTTCTTAGTTATATATGCTATGCTGTTTCGGGCCCTCATATGCGAACTTCGCGGTGTGGCAATATGGCAACAACCGTGACATTAGCTCTGCTCGTGTGTCTCTCGATCTCGCCTACCATGTCTCAACAGCAGTCAGTATCTGTCGTGCGAGGCAGACGTACAGTCCAAACGTGCTGATCAACCCTTTTGGATGTCACTTTGCTCTATGGATGCTCAAGGGATTGGTAGTGCAGACAAGGCAGCTGACGAGAGGCTTGCAGCAGACGCCCGAGGTCTACGGGCTCGGACTGACTCCGTTCGCCACTCGTGCAGATACTGAATTCGTAAGTCTTATCTTCATTTCTTCGTTGAATTTCTACTGAAACTGCACTAGATGTGATCGTTCTTTCTCATCCTCAACGGTCATCTCCTCTTCCACCCGGCTTCGTCCCTTCCGGCCCACAAACTACATTCATCATCCTCCCACCTCACCCTGTACGACTATCTCTCATCTCAAACCCTAACCGCCCTTGAACGTCTCCCCTTCCACTCCGTCACACACGCATGAACCCTCGTCCCATGGTCCGCCGCAAATGTGTCGACACCGTCTCCGATCTCACAAATAGCTTCGTGGCCCGAGGAAGACTGTGGCACGCACTTTAGGCCCAGGCATGTCAGATGATGAACTCGAGTGAGCGAGGGCAGAGGGAGAGCACATTTAGCGTGTTTGGAGGGTGTCCGAATCTAGTGTTGGGTTTGCAGACGGAGGCGGTCGTCGAGGTCTTTGGAAGGGGATTGCAGGATCCGCAGAGTGTCAATGTGAGTGTTCTACTTACTTTTTTTACTCTCGAAATTTCATGGACTATTGGGGCGTGCTGTCTGTCGTAGCCGTTCCCCTCCTGGTCTGATGGCGTGATTACGCCGTCGCCACAACTCGATGTAACCGACTTACTTCATCCATATTTTTTCTCCCTTCGCCCATTCATAACCACCGCGTCCCTTTCTTTCTAACTATCATTTCCTGCCGTAGGTTCGACACGCAGCCCTCACAGGCGCCGTCTCCTACCTCTCCGCCCTTCTACCTCTCCGCCCTTTTGCCACACGCGCTGCCCCACGCCCTCAAATTAATGTATCCAATCCTCGACACCCTCCCTTCTCTCCCCGCCTCCCAACTCCTTCGGTACGCCCCTCACACCCTCCTCTCATTTTCTTCTCACTGATATTTTCTAATATATCGTCCAACGCCACCGCCACAACAGGTTCCTAAACACCCTAACCCCACTCGCCACCTCTTCTCCCTCCCTCTTCGCACCCCATCTCCCCGCCCTCCTTCGCTGGCTCCCTGGTCTCATCCTCTTCAGTGCAGACCCAGGCCCCACACCCACCGTTGCTCGTCCCTTCCCCCCCTCTTCTTCCGGCCCTTCCTCCGGCGTGTTCACATTCTCATTATCTCCGTCCCATCTTTCTCCCCATTCCCACTCCTCCGGCGCGGAAGACGGCCCGCAAGACGAACAGGACCTCGAAGTGGAGGAGGTGAGGAAGGCCGTGCTGGAGTTTATGATCAGCTTGAGAGAGGCGAAACCGGGGATGGTGATGAGGACGGAGGGCTGGGTTGCAACTTTTGGTCAGGGGGTGTTTGGGCGGGATGGAGGTGATTGATGTGAGGCAGGAGGAGCTGAGCGGGTGGTTGGAGGCTGATGTGAGTCTTTTGTTTTTCTTTTTGTTGGTAGATTTTCTCGTGGATGGAGTGGTTTGAAGTTCCCCGGTTCGGCTGAAGTGGCGAGACGGAGGATTGGTGCTTCGCGCTGGGGAATCTGGGATTCTGGAAGGACGTATATGTCGATCTGACGTTTTGGGGCGTTTTGTATCGCTCATTCGCATCCCCATGTCTCTGTATCATTCCTATGAATCTAACAGAAGCTGACCATCTTTTGCTTTTTGCACGCCCCGATACGACCGATACTACCTACTTCCTCCCATCCCATAAACTACCCACTCCGCTCCACTCGACGGACGAAATTTCTACTCACCACCAACCGCTCACATCACCAACCTCGCACGTTCCGATCAAACCGCGAACGCAACCTAGCCTTCCGACGAGCGGACAGATGATACCTATCCCCACATCTAAGAACAGTCGCTCGACAGGCTCGCGTGCGCCGTCGGCGGGAAAGCGGTGCTCCCCGCTGCGTTCCAGTTGATACCGGGCATGTTGGTACGTCGTTCTAACTATCGTCTTCCTCGTCCCCTTCGTTCCTCTTCTTTTCGTTATCATTATCATCTTCATTGCATCATTCTTCTCGGGTCGTTCTTCGAAGCCGACAGGTTTTGTTTGTTTGATTCGACCTATTCACTTTCGGTGCTGCTACTCGTGACGGCGATGGTACGTATCGATGTGACGGTGCGATGGTGTGCTGGTGCTGTTATGTTGGATTCGATTGTGGCGATAGGTGAGCCACGATTGGAGGTTGCGATATGCGGGCTTGATGGCCATCGCGGCGGTAGGCGAAGGAGCGAGTAAGGTGATGCAGAACGAGCTGGGGAAGGTCGTTGGGTACGTCATTTCCTTCATACCTCATTCTTTCCTTTTCTTCTATTTGCCGTTCTCCACCGTGTTTTTGTCTCTTTTCGTGAATCATTGGTTTGGTTGCTGTGTCATTCAGGAAGGGGAGTGGGGATGTCGCTGGGGTTGCAGAGTGTGGATGAGCTGGACGAGGATTGACCATGTTGCTCGCTTATGTCGTAGAGCGTGAATCTGTCACTCAGACGAGGGACGACGGATTGTAGAGAGGGCGGTACAGTGACGATTTGTCACGTCAGGATGTTCTCAGAAAGCGACAAACGTAGACAATGGGAGAGAGAGTTCCGGCAGGGAGTTTGACTGTAGTGGTGGCGCTATGCGGACGAAATACTGACAGTATTTTTTGTTTTGTTTTGTAGCTTGATCTTGCCACTGTTCAGCGATCCATATCCGAGGGCCCGATATGCGGCTTGTCAATGCGTGTACGTCCTCTTCTTAACCCTCCGTTTTTCTCCCAGTATCCCTCCGTGTCTCCTTCTACACTTCCCTCCCCTCATCTCCCATTCCTTGATCACCTGAACTAATCCTACAACCTCATCCATCTAGCGGTCAACTCTGTACTGATCACGAGGTACGTCGGGCTCTTAACATGTACTTTGGCGAAGCGTAGATGGAGACCGATGATGTGCTCCGTTGTCGCTGCTTAGGAAGTCATCCAGGCGGAGTCCATCAGCAGCTGTTCTCAGTACTCATCCCTACGCTCGAGGCTCCCGAGTCGAGGTACATGTCTCCGATCTATGAGTTTTATTGCCCACATCTTCCACCGCTTCCATTCTGCCCGTTCTGTACCATTTCTCCGACTCTATCAGCCGCCCTTGACCCATTCGTTTCGCCCTTCATGACCTTTCGTTGACTTTCGTTCGTTCTTTACCCAAACTCTTCTTTGTTCGACTGGTATTCTTATGGTACACCATCCCGACTTTGACCTGTTCTTGTGCCTCGTCGGTAACAGAGTGCACGCCCACGCCGCAGCTGCCCTCATCAACTTCTGTGAAGGCGTCGAGCGCGACACGCTCATCCCTTACCTCGGTCCTATAGTCGAGCGGCTCCTCAAGCTTCTTATTCCTGCTGGCTTCTCTCCTGCGAACGCGGATGCGAATGGGGCTGGGAACGAGAATGGGACGGGCGTGAAGAGATATATGCAAGAGCAAGTGATTACGACGTTGGCGATGGTTGCAGATGCGAGTGAGGATGCGTTCGCGAAGGTGAATTTTTCTCTGTTTCGCTTTGCGTCGGTGGTCGAAGTTGTGGGTTGGAGTTGTGTTGTTGACGTTGTATTTTTTTCTCGTGTCGGGTGGCGTTGTGCCTGGCTGGATGGATCGTGGTCGAAATAGCATTACTCGAGCATCATGCCCTTGCTGCTGAATCTCCTCAAGAATGTGAATTGACCGGAGTATATGAAGTCAAGGCGATGGAGTGTGCTGGTTTGATTGGTGCGTCGGGTTTCCCCTTCCCCTATTGATTCTTTCAAGTCATCGAAGGTTCAATGCGCTGACTACACTTCTCCGCTTATAGCGATCGCGGTGAGACGAGACGTGTTCAGGCCAGACTCACAAGTCTTCGTCGAGCAGTTGATCCAAATACAAAGTATGTTTATCTTTTCCCTGTTATGGCACCTCAAGAGTTTGACGTGGCTAATGTATATCTGTGTCCAAAGACAGCCCAGTCGATCCCGGTGATGCCATGCTGCCGCGCTATCTCATCACGACGTGGGTGAAGGTCTGTCAGGCTATGGGGCCGAATTCGAACCTTATCTACCGGCGGTCATGCCACAATTGTTGGGCGCTAGGAACAGGAACGTTCAGGTTCAAAATATCTGACTGTTAGGAAGATTTGACTGCAGGTGTACAGGACGGTTTTTGTGTGGCATACACGAGTGGGAGGACGAGGGAGAAGGCGTTTACTAGGCGTCCAGTGTGTTCTTTTTCTTTCCTTATCTCCCTCCTCTCTTTGTTTTTTCTCTTTTCCGATCATGCTCGGTCTTGGATTGTTCGTTTTACCTTTCGGATTAGAGTTGTGGGCTTAGTTGTACGCGCTCGTCCGTTTGAAGCTTCGACCTGCGACATATTGGTTCCGAAAGACTGTGCATGCTGGACCACATTTGCGGTGACGTTCATGGCTCTTGCGAGCTTTATTACTGCTGCACGACACATACACATCCTCGTGACAGAATGTATGCATTAGGAGGAGGACAAATCAACGTGTCACCAAAGCACGATGTGTGAATTCATATGAACAGCATACTGGACATTGGATATATGCAATAGGAATGAACTGACGCTCTATAGCTTCAACTTCTCCTCTCGTACGTTTTGGTTGATCTTCGATTTCGACCATGCTAAGATCGACATTGAAGTCACAACGAGCCTGATCTGTATGAGTATATGGGCCCAAAGATACATTGGCACCCGAGTTTCGACTTGGTCGCCCTTGTTCGAGCGTCATGGTACTAATTGAACGTCGGCATTGATCTGAGGCTTTATCCTTTAAGCATTGAGATTCTCTGCCAGCGAGTGCGGCCACCCCGGTGAGCAGCAAGACAAGTCAAACAGTTCAAGCTACCTCAAGAATGGATGTATAAACTGTATAAACGAGGACGTGAACGTGGAGAATATTGTGTTGTGGATGTACTGGGCAGACGTGCCATATAAAATAGCATCTCACTCGGGTGCTTTGTGATGTAATTTATGAGATGACTGGTCAGAGAAGTCAACTTGAAGGGCCGTGTCGGGTTGGGGAATATGAACTTGTACAAGTCAGGCCAGGCTGGATTCAAAGTTTGTTTCCTTTGCTCTTGAGCTTCAGGATTTGAAGTTAAACCAAATGTGTCCCGTGCTTTTTCTGCAAGTTTGAAGGCTTACTTATACATGCATAAGTCTATGGGATATGCCGAGAGCGGTCAAGGGTAGCGATTTGAGCTGTTGCCGGTACAGGACCTAAAGTACTTTGTAAATCCACAGCGGTCAGCGCGTGATGGTACATTTTGTGTACTCCGGGACATATTCAGTTGGAATATCAAAAAAACTATGAATTATCGGTATGAGAGGTGGGCATTCCACCGTGCTCCTCGACTAACGCAGTCAAGAGAAGTACAGCCCGACTAAATACATTGATCCCCCAATTCATGTCATCCTCTGCCAAGTCGATCTTTCCGTCCAGCAAGCCGTGGGCCCATTCAAGCTCCTCCATCTTCCCGTCAATAATCTCGTCCTCTTCTGGCTCTCCCTCTTCCCGCGGTGGTCGACACTCAGCTCGAATCTCGTCTGCAGGAGGTAAGGGGGCGTCACCATCTACTCCATAAAACTCATCTCCAGCAATATCCACCGGATCCCCAGGGTCATGACGCCACCAACCCTCCCTTAACCCTCTCTCCCGGCTCAGCTCAAAAAGTACGACAGGGCTCTGATAATGCTCCGTTCGAATGCGGTGGTGGTTCCATGCCTCAGTCGTCCTGTTGAGTGACGCCTGTATGCGATCGAAGAAGACGAGAATAAGACAGATCTTGTGGATGCGATTGGTCATGTCCAATAGGCCAGCCTTTTCCATGTAATCGAATATCTGCCTATATGTCTCGATGGTCCCTTTGCGAATATCCCGCCACAGACGCTCTATTCGAACATTGTGAAGTGACCTGTCAAAAATTGGCAGACATCAGTCACCAGGCGGATATAAATGAAAGAGAAAATGGCCTGACCAGCCACGAATGTATGCTCGATGCAAGATACCCCAGTGATCAATCATCCGTCTCTCAATACCGTTATTCTCTTTCCCAAAATCTCCTCGAACGCGACTTGGCCAACCGAACTTCTGAACACTGTCCATGAAGATCTCCTCTACCGTCTTCGAGCGCTTATTTAATCGCAGCTCCAGATAAATTATCAGCCTCGTGAAGCCGTCAACGCAGCCATGGATCCAGAATCCCCAGGGCCGTAGCTTCTCATTTCCGTCCTGATGCCACAGTGCCATCGCCCCTCGAACTCGATATACCCGTCGTTTGATGATACCAGCCCATCTGATGAGAGAAGAGAGCATGAGCCAGGTACGAAATGATGAGACGCCGTTCGCCAGCATGGTTTCAAGCCAAGATGACGCCTATCATATGGGAGGCTACGATTTCGTTCAAGTCAAGATGTTCGGCTTGTAAACAACGCTAGCGAGCAGCGCCTACAAGAGGAAGCAGAAATGACGACGAAGAAAAAAAAACTACCTCGTAAGTACGCCGATGAGATCAACGCGTTTGAGACTTTCCTGAACTCTTTTAATCGGAACCCGTATGTCTCGGCTCAAAAGATGTCCACGCATGATACCTGCACCATCGAATGGATGCTCGAGAGAAAGCTCAGCCATCACCTCATCCAGCTGTTCATCCGATATCTCGGTATAAGCAGGTACGGAGGTATCAACTCCAGCCCTCCACAAATGGTTATACAGAGTTAGACGAACAACTCCCATAGCCTTTGCGACCGACTCCCAGGATGCTCCTAGGGCATGGAGACATTGCGCACGAGCAAGATCGAGAACGTAGCGTGGTCTACCTGGGAGGCCAGTGTAGTGACGAGGAATGTTTGAGGATGGTGGCGGTGGCGGATGGTCTAGAAAATGCTGAAGAGGTGCGATGTAAGAAGATACACCGTCGATCAAAGCGATACGTTCTGCTTCTGAGGTGTAAGGATCGTCGAGACTGCGAAGAACAGCCTGTACGGCCTCAAGCTGGCGTGTGGTACGCTCAACCGCATGCCGATCGGCATTCGGAAGAGACAGGACGATAAAATTGGCTTCGCGTAAGATTTTGTGAGCGTTGATGAGGAAGGTATGAACACCGCTCGTTCCGTCCATCTTCATATAGTATGTGTCAGGAGGAGCAATGATCGTGTGGTCAATATATTAACACACTGACCAAATTAGCCTTCTAGCCTCCGAGGACGGGTCGGAATGTGTCGAGATCGCTTGGCAGTCGAGTTTGGTCTAAGCACATAGAGAGCCATCAGAAATTGAACCAAGGTTGGTGCTTTTAGTGCTATGGCATGAGCAGACGTACAAAAGCACCGACAGAGGCCCAGGGAAACAGGGTGTACGGGCACCTTCGCAATTTGACGATGATCACCCCTAGATGACTGTCAGAACAGTCAGATGGACCCGGATCACAGTACGAGCATTATATACCTAGTACTAGCAAACTAATGGGCTCCAAGTATATGTGAGGAGTTGATGTGTATGGTCAGAGCGCTGCAAGTTCGACGATTGTCCAAGGTGATAATTCAAGTCCACCGTACAAGGCCGAGACCATTTCCGCCGGTTCAAAAACCAGGCAAGTTCACACGACATCACTCTTTTCTACGCACAGACAGCTTTGTCCATCACACAGACAGCAGCTTTTTAGCATTGCGATAACTTCAAGCAAGCAGTTCGAAGGACAGTGTGGGCTTTGTCCAAGGTCGGGACGACAAAGACACCGAGCTGTATAGTTTATACGGATAGGACCGAACATCAGCCACGGATGGCTGATTAAGCAGCTATACAGTTGTCGGCCACTGCCGCTCAAGTTCTACTCTCGACAGTGACATGACAGTCATAAACCAATGTTTTATTGCGGAAATAATAAACATGCTGCCGTTGCAGCCGTCACCATTGACCCCGTCCCGGTGAAATGTCAAATGACATTCCGGAGGGCTCCAGGGGATTGACAAATAAATCATACCCCTAGCAAGCCACAGGCAACAAGCCATACCCAAGATCGAGAGCGATCATCCAAGAGGAACAGTACATATGTGTGCGTGGAAGAGTGACCGGCTTCAGTCTTGTAAGGTGCTAACCCTCTACATGTGTGGTACTTAGCCGACTTATACCCGACTTGTGTGCCATACCATGGTTGCACTTCCGCGCGTGGTGCAACTTGCGAGTACCTAACGGATCTACTTATGGGCATTATCATTGTTTCATCAACTCTAAGGAATCTACTGTTGTGCGAGATTTCACTTGTGTGCAACCTTGTGGAAGTTCAGAACTTCGGCGCAATCTCGTCCATATATTTTCACTTCCGGCGTCCGAGTTTTTATACAATATCACGCCCATAGAAACGCACTCAACGGAAGAAATGAACTTACTGTAATCCACAGGTATTCACATATAAGTATTCCCATCCGGTATCCAGAAACGAACTTAACGGAGGAAACGAACTTACTATAGTCTACGCGTATACACATTTGAGTATGCTCGGCCGACGTGCAGAAACAAACTTAAGCTACCAAACGAACTTACCATAGTCTAGCCTTATACACGTGTGAGCAAGCGAAGTTACTGACACAAGATCATTTACCCTGAGCAAAAGGTCAAGGCAACAGCAAAGCGAACTTACACTCCGAACCGAACTTACCACCAAAAGTGATCTTGTACACATATTCAGACCCGCTCACGAGCTGTGGCTGGTTTCATGATACATAGGGTCGTCTACAATCACAGGCAGTCATATGACCCAGGTGCCGTGCTGCATAATAACTTCTATCAGACATACTACACAATTACAGAGGTAAGCTGACCAGTAGAGAGCAGCTCACGCGTGAGCTGCAGATTACATAAACAGGCGCCTAATTCACGCCACACTCGAGTGGCCCGTCCCTCTCCCGTACCCAAGTTCCCACTAATCCACCTGTCCCACACTAATGGTGCGCACCTGCAAACTGCCCAGTCGAGTCGAAAAATCATGAG